AATCAATTAGGAACTAGATAATGACCCCAAGGTCTCTGCAACCAGCTGGGAACATAATTACCCCATTCCCATTGGTTATTTTATTAATCCGTTTCTGTTTCTCTGAATTAAGTGATTGGCAAAGAGGTCAGCAATGTATTGGAGGAAAACAGAAAGAGTTGTTAAGGCCACTGGCTAAAATTATGTACCAAATCTTAAGAAGTAAAATGAACCCTAGGTATAGTAAATTTAAAGAAGGAAGAGATGCATTAAAGACTCTATGAGGCCTGGGCTGGGCGGGCAAAATTACTTCCCAGAGGTGGTCCCCAAATGTGGTTCTGGAAGAAGCCACTGGCAACACGTGGCCAGTCTAACACTTTATGTTTGTTCTCAACACCAGGCTGCCTCACTGTGGGTATGCCAGCATGGAGCTGCTGAAAATCTTGAGCTGGCTGGGTGAGCTTGAAAATGGGACTAGAATAAGGGGATTTGCTATAGTTATTCAAAGTGACAATAAAAAGTCTCAGGCTAAAATATTCCAATACAGGGCAATAAAGACACACAGACACACACACACCACTCCCTCTCCACCAACGATGGATCAGCCGGGACAGGCCCAAGTGCAGCTATTAAAAAGCACAGGCTTCTTTCTCCAACCAGGCACTGCCCCTCAAGAATTCCTTTGATGTGCTTGTGTGTTCAATTAGGTTACACTCAAAGGCAATCCTCGGAATCATTCAAAAAATGACTTTGCATATCTCTACATTCCATTATGTGTTGATTTTAAATTTAACCCCTAAGGCAATTTTATTTCCTTTAACTTGACATCTTAGAGGGGTGCTTCTCTATATCCCTCACTGTCTTCGACTTCTGTATCTTACTGTCAATTAAAAAGGTTATCTAAGGCTGTGCTTCTCAAACTTAAAAGTGGCTACAAATCACCAGGGCATCTTGTTAAAATGTAGATTCCAATTCATTAGATCTGAGGTGGGGCCCGAGGTACTGCAATGCTGCAGGTCCAAGGGCCAAGGTTCTAATGACAATCTGAGCAAAAAACTCAATCTGCTACAGTATTTAGGTTCTGTTTGTTAGAGAATACGTAATTTAATAAATCACTAATGCGTAATTTGCCTATGACAACACTAATGTTGCTAAATAAACAAAGCAGTCAACCACCAGAGGAGGCAAATTTCAGGCCAGCTTAATTACATCTTTCCGAAATTCTCAATAATACAGGCCTATAAACCTATAAAAGGAATAGAGATCAAAAATTATCATGGGATTCCTATCTATTACTTGTATCATCAGTGGCTGACACTATGGAGTACTCTCCCCACCTGAGGGATGTTCACCAAAGTATACAAAGTGCATTTTGTTTTAGAGTCATTCATTATTTCAACTAATATCCAACCCCTACTCAGTGCCAGACCTTAAAGTAATGGCAACATGGAAAATAACATTCCTTTATTAGAGCAATGGTTCTCAAGAGTTTTTGAACCGTGATGACACAAAAGATTCTACTCATCCCATTTTAACTGACACCCAAGTACCTTGGGAGAAAGAGGCATCCTATACACATTTGTTTTTAGCATCAGGAGCCTGGCTGGTTCATATTTAAACTGCGAAGTTTCATCTAAAATCAAATAACAGGTCAAATGTTACATCAATAATTTGCAATCATAGGGGAACTTCCACAAACTCCCACTACCTCAATTCAACTACCTGCACCTATGAATGAAAGCACTGATGTGTATTTCTGGGTCAATTTAAAACTCATCAGTTGATTTTTGGACTTTATTTAGAGAATCACTCATTTGATGTTGGCTGTATTGCTTATACTTGACCATGAATGGAACATTTCAATCCATTTACTTGAGAGCATTTCAGAATTATCTCCAACCATTCCATTAAAAAAAATAGACAAATTCTGATAGAGAGCAATTTAGGTAATCCAATCAGTTCAATGGAGATGTGGCTCTTTTTACCTTATAGTATTCTCCAATTAGTACTTAGCTCTGTTAGGTCAGTTCTCAACCTGATAGCCCTTTTTAAATAATTTCCTTACCTCCAGTTCTGATATACTTCCCCAAACCCAGTGTCCCAATACCTCTGGGGTATTTCCAGTTGGATATCGCTCTAATGGGATTGCTGTACTTTCAACAAGCTCAATCTTGAGTTCATTAACTTCCTTCTGAGCTAAACTCTGTTCCCTTTATCCCTGTCACATGTTTGGGAGTTGTCTTGGACTTCTTTCTTCCCCTGTAACTACCATATCCAATCGGACAACACAAGTATTTGAATATTTGTGAATAGTTCTTCTATATGCAAATCAGATTCCCTTTCCGTTTCATTTACAGAGCTTTACTTATCTACTTCCTCTTCCCCATCACAATAACAGAAGGTAAGGCAAAGATAAAGAAGCCTCCCACCTTTGTGTTCTCTTTACAATTGATGTAGTGATAAAAATCAAGTCATTTTGAAATGCTGAAACTTTAAAATGGAAATTCTTAAAATCCACCTTTTCTAGACCAGTTTATTCTGAAAGAAATATAGGGAGAAGAAATAATACCCCTTCATGGGTTTTTGCTTTGTGAAACGACTTTGAAGGAGATACAAACTATGTTTTGAGCCCTTATTATAGGCTACTTGTACATTTTAAATACTCAAAATTCCATTACTTACCTTATTTTACAAATGAAACAGAGTCAAAGAGATTAAACAATGTGAGTAGCAGAGACAAATTTCAAATCCTGCTTCTCTATCAAGCCAACTGTTCCTACTGCATAACAATACAACTTATGAAGTGCTATACACATATTCACTCAAGATAATATTGTTGCCATCATTATACTTGCTTGACTTGAAACAGATTTATAAATATAAATGGGCATAAATAACCTATTTCAATAACTTTGAAAATTAGCTTCAATATGGGATAATATAGAGAGGTTTCATTTGCATTTCTTCATTTTCCAATTTAAGTTTAATGGAAGAGAGTAATTGATTTAAGAAGTTCAAGGGTGTTAACAGCACTCACCATCTCAAGTGCAGAAGGGACACTAATTAACATTCACAAAGTGGAAGGGGCCCAAGTAAATTTGCTAAAGGGAGGAATATGGAAATTCTGCCCACAGCCAGAACAATGGACATAGATTTGTCAAAACAAAGAACAGTCAAGTGAGGGAAAGCCATTCATCCAGCCCTTGTTGTTATACTTCATGACTATTTTTCCAGTTGTTGGTTTCCTATTCACTCTAACAAGGAAAAAGATTATACAAGACTTAACATTTTGTAAATTCATATTATCCTTTAGCAGAAGCAAAAGCGCTGAAAACAGTAAGTTATAGCATTCAAAATCCAAACGAGAGAAAACAATCTCTAATCAGGTAACAATCTCCAGTATCCAAAAGCAAAGCTGCTCATTTCAGTTCTACAAAAGAAACCTTCAAGACTTGATAGCCACTGTGCATCTTTGGTGCAACTGTAAAGTTTTAATGCTAAATCTAAATGAAGCTGTTACTACCCTGAACAAATCTATGTGTTTTATGCTGTTACACAACATCATCTTGGTTTTCATATTGGCCTTGGGATAGTAGGTCATCTGGACCTACTATCTGGACAGCTGAGCAACATCAGTTACCAGACATGGGGTGAATTAGCCTTGAGTTTAAAGTACAAAGATGAAACAGGCCCTGAACACAGCCACAGAATATCATGCCCAGGACACTCCTTATTTCAACATCTTGTAGGCTACAGATTTTCATCACCATGGCTCACTGCTGGGCTTTTCAGTGGTGAAAACCTCTCCTCACATACTAGGATAAGGGTGTCAAGGACCACGTACCTCCTTTAGAAAACATTTTGGGTACTTAGAGTTTGGTACTCCTTTTTTACGGGGAAGCCAAAAGCATTTACCAGACTCTGTAGTTACTGCCCCGGAGCTTCATCTAACTATAGTTCGTGGGAGGTCCAAAAAAGAGATGAATGGGTTTCCGCTCTTGCCCTATGCAATCCCTGCTCACACACACACTCAGCCACATACCTGTGCATCCGTGAAAATAAAGCTTCTAAGTAAACAAACACAAATTCAGACAGAACTCCCGTTACTAGTTACTTAAGCACATATTAAGAACGTGCCAATTTTATATATTTTTTCTTTTAAACTCTCCTCGGCTGAACGCCAACATCAAGTTTTAGTTATGTAGCACGTGATTTTTAAGACAGTTATTTTTATCCACACTTTCTACCGATGAGCGGAGGCGGTGCGTACAGCAGGTAGTCACGATCTCCTGGGTTTTAAATGGCTACATTTACCGGCTTTGTGCTAACGTTCAAGCCCCAAATCCTACCCGGACAGGTTATTAAACTCTTAAGATTACTGTTAACCATTTGGACGTTCCCGTTTCACTGGACGATCTTGGAGGGGTGTGGGTGTCAGTATTAGAAAAGGGAAGGTGGGGTCTGGGGTGAAAGGACAGTTTGCATAGGTCCTTGTTTGCTCAAGAGTCAAGCCTCAGCGGACGTTCTGGGACACGTGCGCACAGCCAGAAAAACAAAACCGGCCCGGGGGTGGGGGGGGGGGGGGGGGGGGGGCACAGCCGGATTAACGGAGTTGAGCGGGATAACTGCTCTACGGGAGCCTACTGCCTCGTGCCAAGGCAGGTGCTGGTTCTCCTGCCAAGACCATCCTCTCCAGCCAGCTAGCGAATCCTGGCTCTTGGCGGGTTCCGCGCCGCCCGGGATCCCCATCATTGGGGCTCCGCACCTGGGCTTCGGGAGGAAGCAGTTCTAGGAAGACTGCATGCACCGCCCCCCCCCCCCCTTTTTGGCCGTTTTGGCCGTTTTTGCCTCCTGAAATCCTGTGTCACCTTCAGACTGGGCATTTTTTCCTGTGGCCCGAACTCGACGGGTCCAGGTTTCTCCCTGAAGGCTTCTTAATATCCCCTCCCCATTTCCTCGGCTCCCTCAACCTCGTCCGCCCCTGGGGGTGGGCGAGCAGACCGCACTCCCCTGGCACTTACACGTGGCCACAGCGGGTCCGGACAGGCTGGTGCAACACCTCGAGGCACACGGAGCAGTCGAAGGACGTGACGGGCAGCTCTGGGGCCCCTCTACGCTCCAGGGCCCGCGGGGTGGCCGAGGCGGGCGGCGATTTGCCGCTATCGCTGCTCAGCACGGAGCCCATCGCTGCGCGTCTCACCCGGGCAGCTGCCAAGAGCTCAGTGCCTGCTGCCGGGTTGTTTTGTTGTCCTGCGGTGGAGGAAGGAAGTCCCGGCCCAGCTGCGATCGCCGCCTCCCAGCGCGTCCAGCAAACGCAGCCTAGAAGCAGTCTCCGTCGCAGCGCCCAACCCCGGTCTAGGGCCGCCGAAGTGCGCGGCCAGAGTCTGAAATCGCCTTTGAGCGCTGCCTTGCTAGGTTGAGGCGCGGAGGCGGAGGCGGAGACCGCAGCCGCGCGGTGCGGGCTGCAACTTCTCGTGGTCCTGAGAGGATTGAAACCTGAAACCGTAACTGCAGAGCTGAGGACCTGGTTCAGCAGTGAACCTTCCAGGCAGTTATGCACATCCACCTTCCCCAGGGTCGCAAGTTAAGGAAAAAGGAGGCCTGGTCATGCTTTATAGGAATCGGAGAACACCCACTTGTAAGGTGGTGGTCCCATTAATCCTGTACTGTTGTAATCATAATAGGCTACAAAGATGATCGATGACTGAACATCTCCTAAGGCAGGGCTAATCACTAGTTCAGTCATCTAATCAATACTCCACTAATGGAGCGGTAGCATGGAGTAGTGGAACGAGTTCTGAAGATCCCATTCGAATGCCAACAGTAAGACAGGAATTCTAGTGCTAAATTCTCCTGTCCTCCTTTGTTCGGCTCAGAATCTATTGCTGTTACTTGTATTCTCTGCCCCGTCCTCTTTTAAACATAGCCAAATATATCATTTATTAATTCACGCATTTAATAAGACTTATTTTAGTGCCCACTGCATGTCAGACTTCGTTTTGGTGATGGGACCCACTTCCCAACAAACGAAACCTAGCTCCCTACAGAACTTAAAACAAACAAACAAAAAAACCAAAAAACAACCCTGGTGGGGTAGCTCCGTTGGAATTTCCTCCCAATTCTTCAAGGTTGTGTTAGGTGCCTAGTTAGGGCACATGAAGGAATCAACCAATTAATGCATAGATAAGTAGAACAACAAATCGATGTTTCTCTCTCTGAAAAAAAAATCAATAAAAGGTAAAAAAAATTTATTTAGAGCTGAACATGCTTACTAAGAAATAATACATAGTAATGCATAATACATAAAATACTACAGAATATAATGATACATATAATACATAATCTCATAAACTTCACCCACTTTCCACAGACTTGAATTTTAATGACAAGATATAAGTAATCAACAAATAAATGAATAAAAATTATTTCAGATAATAAGAGCCATGAATAAGATAAAACAGAGAATGGAGGGAATAGATAAGAAGGTCAGAGAAGACTTTTTGGATGAAGTGACATTTGAGCAGAGTCATGAATAATGAAAGGGAGTCAGCCATTCAAAGATTTAGGAAAAGAAGCTTGCTAAGCACTGGGTACAGTGAGTGAGGCAAGAATATAAAACAGAAAGAAGCAGAATGGGGCTGGGACACACAGGACCAGGGGTGTAGATGGGATGAAATGACGTAGGAGACGACAAGCCTGATCATATCCAATCTTAAGGCCTGGACCAAGAGTTTGGATTTTATTCCAGGTGTCATGATTTGATTTAGTCTGACAGCTGTGTGGTTTCAAAAAGAAAGGAACAAACTACAAAAGCCGAGAAGCGAGTTAACAGGCCACTGAATTAGTCCCACTGAGAATGATAAAGGCCTGAACTAGGGAGTTAACTGGGTAGAAGGTGAGAAATGGACCGGTTTGAGATTTATTTAGGGAAAAGGCCTACGGTGCTTGCTAATAAATTGAATATCTTTAAAACAAAAACTGTGCCTTGACGCCACATATCCCTCTGCTCTCACCTTATGTCCTCTTTACGGTCAAATTTCTTGACCTGATTCTCTGCCTTTTATGTCTTCATTTTTTTAGGTATATTTAAAAGATTTATTTATTTATTTGAGAGAGGGAAAGGGAAGGAGAAAGAGAGGGAGAGAAACACCAATGTGTGGTTGCCTCTCACAACCCCTAACCTGGAACCCGGCCTACAACCCAGTCATGCATCCTGAGTGGGAATCGGACCAGCGACCCTTTGATTCACAGGCCAGCACTCAGTCCGCTGACCCACACCAGCCAGGGCTTCATTTCTTAATTATTCCCTCTTTATTGGTCCAACCTGGGTTCTGAACCAACCGCTCTACCTTCATCTGTCTATAAATTGCTTCATCACCAACGTCACTGGTAGGTGACCTTGATGTGGCTAAATCCAATAGACTCTTTTTAGTTCTTTTCTTGCTTGACCTGCCAATTATATTTATCAATGTTGACCATTCCCTTCTTGTAGAAACACTCTATGGCTTTCCTTTTTTGTTTCTTTGGCTGTTGTTTCTCAGTCTCCTTTACTAATCACCCCTTCTTCATGGAGAAACTAAGTGTTGGAGATCTAAAGACTCTGTCCTAAGATCTTTTTCCATCTCATTCCTTTCCTAAGAATCTTAAAAACCACATAGATTTTGTTAATCTCTATTCCAAAGACCTTTAAGCTTTACTCTAGGCCACTCAAAAGCCCAACTGCTTACTTGACATAACCACCTAGTTACTGCTTTAGGCACCTTCAGCTCAACATGTCTAATGATAAACTCATTACAGTAACCTCCCCCTTCCAGTTGTTTCTCTCTCTCTTACTAAATGGCACTACAGTCTTTCTGGTAGCTAAGCACAGACACATAGGAGCTCTCCTTGATTTCTTCATCTTTCCCATTCACATTGAATCAACCACAATCACAGTCAGAATTCTGCCTCCAATATATCTCTCAGTAGTTCTTGAATTCTTTCATTTTTCTCTATTCCCATGGCCAGTTAGCACTTAATTTAAGTCATTCCATTCTTTCGTGACCTGCTGAAATATGTCCTATTCATTCCACCTATATCCACTGTTGCCACTGTCCAAGCTATTAGCCACATTGCAACTAAAGTGACCTTTTGAAAAGCACATACCTTATGTCACACCATCCTCAAAACCCGTTAACTGTTCTCCATAATCCTTAGGATTAAATTCCAAATCCTTAATATGATTTACAAAGCCCTACAGGTTCTACTCTTTTAATAGCTATAATCAGTTAGGACAACTTTGACACCAAGGAATAAAAATTCGACTTGAGGTGCCTTTGTTGATAAGAATATTTATTATCAAATATAGTGAGTTAATCTAGAGGTAAGCAGTTCCAGAGTTAGCTCAGCAGTTCATGATGTCCCCAAGGCCTCAGCCCCTTGCCACCCCCAATGTATCAGTGGTGTCTTCCTCATGGCAGAAAGATGGCAGGAACCACTCCGATAAAAACATCTACACACAAAAATAACCAAAAACAGAAAGGAAAGATAAGGTTTCCTATTGCTAGCTCTCTTTCCTTTTAAGTAAAATGAAAATGTTTCCTAGAGGCCTCCTTCTGTCAACTTTCCTTTCCATCTCATTAGTCCAGATTGGGCTCCATGACCATTCTTAAACAGTCACTAGCAAAAGACAGAGAGGGTACTCTGGTTGGCTTAAGCTCAAAATTTATCCCATAGGTCTTGATCTTTCAGTTATCTGAACAATATAATTTGCAGTTCTTTTACCAAGAAAGAAGAGGATAAGACAATTGGATAGGCCTACAGCAGGATCTCCAAAATAACCATTTCTGGCTCCTTCTGCTATCACTCTCCCCCCTTACGCTGCATGCTTCTAAATTTCTCTACTACTTTCAGTTCTTTGAGTGTAGTGAGTTCTTTCCATTTTCAGGTCCTTTATACCTGCTTTTTTTTTTTTTTTTTTTTTTTTTTTTTGCTTTTCCTGAACACTTCTATCAACATCCACCACTTTCAACCTCCTTCAGATCTTAGTTGGTGACTTTTACTCCACATTTTCTCATACCATCTCTTTGATTCTTTCATAGCCTGTTCTATTTGCCTTCCAATTAATCCTGCTTGTAGATACTGCAAAAGTTAGAGATAATGTAATTAAAGTACCTGGCATGTAGGAAGTGATACATATATTTATCTATGAAACTCAATACTAATCTCATAAGGTAGATATTGATCCCATTTTATAGTTTCAGAAAATTTAACTTAGGAAAAGGTCACATAGTCAGTAAGTGGGAAAATTATGTTTTAATTCTAAATCTTTTATTTTAATATCCATGTGCTTTTCACTAAGGCACTTATAAAGAGACGAGAAGTACTAAGAATCTTAGTAAAAATAAGACAAAATTAAATTAAATAGTGCAGGAAAATGCAGCTGGGGGGATAGATAAAAATTAAGCATCCGATATTATTTATAAACTTATAAAGGTGGCAATAATGATGAAGATGATGATTGTGGTGTCAGCCAGAGAATGAATTTACAATCCAGACTGTGGGCCCTGAAGGGCATCAGAAGTAAACATTGGCCCTGACCAGCGAGGCTTAGTGGGTTGGGCATCATCCTGCAAAGAGAAAGGTCACTGGTTCAATTGCCGGTCAGGTTACATGCCTGGGTTGCATTGGAGTGACCTAATTTCAAGGCATTTCAGTTAAGTGAGCCAGAAATAAGCTATGGAAGCTGCATTTTTAACAGTCCCCTACCTGGTTCTGATGCAGGGGTCAATGGACCATTCTCTGAGAAATACAGTTCCCCATGGTAGGCAAACAGCAGATCCTCCAGGTAACTTGGAAGACTTGCGGAGACATCAGGTGCCAGGAGAGTAATTTACATCCATTCCTACTTCAATCTGTCCTCAACCTTAACCATGCCTTCTCTTTAAAAAAAAATTTTTATTTATTTATTTTATTATTATTATATTTTTTTAGAGAGAAGGGAAGCAAGGGAGAGAGGGAGAGAAACATCAATATGAGACAGAAACATAAATCTGTTGCCTCTCATACACAACCAGGACAGACCCTACAACCCAGGCATGTGCCCTGACCAGAAATCAAACCAGCAACTTTTCACTTTGTGGGATGACACCCAAACAACAGGACCATACTGGTCAGGGCTATGTTTTCTTAATACTGTATGATGCTACACTGGTGAAGGCCCTAGTACCGAAACGTAAATATTTCTGAATTTACAAAGACAATTATAAAAATACCTGTCTATAAACCTCTTGAGAG